CTATTGGCTCAAATGCTCCAAGAGAGGGGATTGAATTGAAGTCTTCAAAATTTTCTTCTTTTTATTAACCACCAAATGTATGCAAAGTATAGTAGAAATGAAGAAGAGCTTGTCTAATCAATTTTATAGAGGTTCAACCCAAACGCTTGACACCTAATCCTCTATCTTGGCTTTACTCACCAAGGATTTTCCCTTCACTTTCCACTAGTAATCAAGAGTAGTTTAAAGGAACTATTTAATTCTTTTGAAAAATGTTTTTAACTAATACACTTGCCTTTACAAGAATCCCCAATAAATCTCACTTGGCTTTTCTCTTGTAGGTTTCACTCACCCTCAAGTATTATTTCTTGAAGTTTCACTCTTTCTCAAGATCACAAAGAAAGAGTCAAAAGAAATATTACACAAGATATGATTTCTCTAAGATCTAATTTACAAATGTAAATTCAAACTCTTGAAAGGATCTGCAAACTTAAGGTCAAATTTAGTTTTTGCTCTTCTAAGGTGTTTAAAGGCTCTCCAAGATGTTTATCAATTATGTGTATAGAGCCAAGGTCGAAATTAGCCATTTATATCTGTCAAAGTCCTTTAATGCACTACAGGTCAGCTTAGGTTTGAGCAAAACACATTGTAGATTTTACTAACAAGTTGGCTTTGCTTTCAGAGCTAGCTTTAAGTATCAAAACCAGCTCTAGTGTTGTCTTTGCACTTTTGATTCTTCTTTCGAGCTGGCAGCAAAACCTAAAGTCAACTTAGAAAATTGGAGTCTAAAAAATTAAAAAAATGTTTCAAACTTTTGATCGTTGGAATCATTAAATACTTCATCATAGTTAGCTGTAAAATATTAAAGACAACTTTGTGTCCATTTCTCCCATGCACACCAAAGTTGTTGGTTTGAACTCAAAAACAATAAAGCTAGCTTCAAGATCGAAACTAGCTTTCCTGGGCATTTTCAGCACATTGTGCCTTTACTTTTTCATCTAACTTTAACAACCCATATTTTTCTCATTTGAACTCCATTTTGGATGTTTTTATACTTGTTGGAAATCTTGACATGTTTACATTCACATGAACTAATCCTTGAGGCAAAACTCCAACTATAGTTTGATTTATTCTTAAATGAACAGACTGAGGTTAGTTTTACAACAAATAAAGACTTTTCAATTTTCTAATTTTGTGCACATTGGCACAAAACTCATTAGATACTGTGGTTTTGTTATTTGATTATAATTAGAACAAGGCCTATTGAAATGGACCACCCCAAGTGATGTGAGATCCAGACAACCACCAGGTTGTTAGTTTGGGCCCACACCCATGAGGGGGGATTGCTCTAATAACAATTGAAATCACTCAAGTTGAAACTCACCACTAGCCAAACAACTTTTTAGCCCGAGACACATGAGCCTTGAAAAGCATAAGTGGTTAGTAATAGTTGTCTCTACACTTATATACCACTCATAGTAACTTCCATCCTTATATGAGATTCAAAGAGCATCACATAATAGTAGGTCAAACATACTTGAATTCTAAAAGATTATGATGGTATGACCATAATTAATAATTAAATCGCTAATAAATCTCACTTAGCTTCTCTCTGAAGGTTTCACTTACCCTCAAGTATTATTTCTTGAAGTTTCACTCTTTCTCAAGATCACAAAGAAAGAGTCAAAAGAAATATTACACAAGATATGATTTCTCTAAGATCTAATTTACAAATGTAAATTCAAACTCTTGAAAGGATTTGCAAACTAAACCTCAAATCTAGTTTTTGGTCTTCTAATGTGTCTCAAGGCTCTCTAAGATGTTTATAAATTATGTGCATAGAGCCAAGGTTGAAACTAGTCATCTATATCTGCTAGAGTCCATTCAATGCACTACAGGTCAGATTAGGTTTGAGAAAAACACATTGTAGATTTTACTAACAAGTTGGCTTTGCTTTCAGAGCTAGCTCTTTTAAGTTGCCGTTAAGTATCAAAACCAGCTCTAGGGTTGCCTTTGCACTTTCTATTCTTCTTTTGAGTTGGCTACAAAACCTAAAGTTAGCTTAGAAAATTGGAGTCTAAAAAATTAAAAACAATGTTTCAAACTTCTGATCGTTGGAATCATTAAATGCTTCATCATAGTTAGCTGCCAAAGTTGTTGGTCTGAACTCTGGAACAATAAAGATAGCTCCAAGATCGAAACTAGCTCTCCTAGGCCTTTTTAGCACATTGTGCCTTTACTATTTCATCTAACTTTAACAACCCATATTTTTCTCATTTGAACTCCATTTTGGATGTTTTTATACTTGTTGGAAAGCTTGAGAAGTTTACATTCACATGAACTAATCCTTGAGGCAAAGCTCCAACTATAGTTTGATTTATTCTTAAATGAACAAACTGAGTTCAATTTTACAACAAATAAAGACTTTTCAATTTTCTAATTTTATGCACATTGGCACAAAACTCGTTAGATACTATGGTTTTGTTACTTGATTATAATTCGAACAAGCCCATTGAAATGGGCCACCCCAAGTGATGTGAGATCCACACAACTACCAGGTTGTTAGATTGGGCCCACACCCGTGAGGGTGGATTGCTTTAATAACAATTGAAATGACTCAAGCTAAAACTCACTAGTAGCCAAACAACTTTTTAGCCCAAGACGCATGAGTCTTGAAAAGCTTAAGTGGTTAGTAGTAGTTGTCTCTACACTTTTATACCACTTATACTAACACTTCCATCCTAATATGAGATTTAGAGGGCATCACATAATAATAGGTCAAACATACTTGAATTCTAAAAGATTATAATGGTATGACCATAATTAATAATCAATAATTTCAACAAAATTCTTGTCATTAGTTGCTAGAGTTCTGTTTTCTACAATGAGCGAGGACCTTGCTTAAGCACACTTCCCTGTTTTGAAGGGCCTCATTGTTACTTTTTTCTACTATCCTTCTACATGATCCCCTATGGCACAAGCATGAGTATCGACATGTAATTGTTGTGGATTAAGGGATGCCTCTACGATCCTTGAGCTTAAGAAACAAGGTTATGAAGGCGGTTTAGCGTTGCTATGGAACAACGAATCAAAGATGCAAGTGCTTTCTATTGGACTAAGCTCATCATTATCAACAATTAATCATTTTTGTTAAACAATATATCATCTAGCCTTTAACCTAAGTTCTGGTGCTTATCAAAGAAGGCTAGTTTATCTCCAACCCTACTATTAAGATGATTGGCAAGTGCACACTAGCATCTTTTTGTAGTAGCATTTTGAATGTGGCTATGGCCATATGGCCAATTGTTATTGCCACAAAATTTAACTTTTTTTTATCAACTTATAACTTAATTTTTTGTTAAATAGTTGGTTATAATATATGAAATATTTGTTTATAAACTAATTTTAATTTATTAAATAATAAATATTAACCGTTTTATCAATTATCGGCTATTCTTATTAGTCAAACTAAGATAAAAATTAAATAAATTCTGTGATGTTAATAAATGGCTATGTGATTATAACCACTATCTAGCATTTTGGATAGTGATCAATACCTACATGTGGCAATGTCTAGGGGGGTCTCTGACATAGGTGGTACACCATTGGTTGCTTGAGAATTGTTGAATTGTTTGGAGTTGCCACCAATATTTTAAAATATTAGGTGTGATTGGTCACTTATTTTATTACTTATTTAAAATAAGTCATTTTTTGATTTGTAAAATCAGAATTGGGTTTGGGAAGGTATTAGCACTCCAAGCCTAGAGCGATACCAATTAAGAAAGTATTATCTATCTAAGCTAAACTAATAGTTTGTTATTAAACAACTTAATTATGTTGAAAGATAAAACTAGCTCATGAGGAATGTTTGGTTTTTCTGATTTGATTTTGGATCCCAGAGATTGCTGGAGATTAATCAGAAGGTAATGCTAGTGTTGCATGGGTAAGAGGAGGGAGGGAGAATGGTCATATGTTAGGATTTTCTTATTTTGGAGTTTTCATATTTTGTAAACCTATTTGAGTACCTCTCTTATAATATTTGATTGGGAAATTGTACATACACCTTGCAAAGTACACACTTTATTACACACTCCATTACACACGGATGGTTTTCGTTACTTGTGCCATTAAAACTGACGGCTTCCATTATTTGCGTAGTTAAATTGACGGTTTCTATTATTTATGCTGTTAAAATTGATAGTTTCCATTACACGCCATCAATGTGTAATAAAGTGTGTAACTTTACAAGATATATATGTATCATTGTTTCAATAAAATTCTTTGTTATTCAAAATAATTAAAAAAAAAAAAGTTCAACAGTACCCCTTGCCATCACTCCTAGCTGGTATTCCATATTGTTATACCTCTTTTGATTACCAAAAAAAGTCTGAATTGCTTGTAAAATATCAAGGAAATAATTGATATATATTCGATTTAGCACACTTTGATATTCGGTTTAATACACTTTTTTACACTCATTTTAATTTAATTATTAAAATATGATGCAAGAATATTTAATTTTTGTATTCTGTATGTATGACTGCATCTTAGGTTTATCTATGTTTAATTTGAAACTAAAAAATAATAATTTTTTAATAAATATATTGTGTAATTTATTAAAATAAAATATGTATCAATCAATGTTCAAAATATCATTTATAGTATTACTCTGGACCATGTCTATTAAGAACATGTCAACTTGGTATTTCTGGTTGAGATTATAGTTCTTTGAATGATAACCTAGCTAATACTTTTGCATCCATCGGTTTGTCAACGCATGTACCTACAAGTTAATTAATTAAACAACATTTTATTACATGCAATAAAATAATATTCGTAAAAGTGCATTTTTATATTAGCCATTAAAATATTTTAATTAAGCACAGCTGCCCACATTTGAAATTTTCCAGTTACTGTGAAAAGAACAGGTCATGGGAAGAGCCTGGTAAACTTACCTCAAAAATTTCATCGGAGCTGAAATCTTCACTATAAATATCAATACCACCTCTTTATTTTCTCCCAACCCACAAAATTAATCACAACGAAATTACGTAGTACACATCCAGCTAAGCGAGCAAATCTCCTCCTCCTCCTATATACAATCATGTTTTCTTCGAAAATTTCCATGCTTCTTCATCTGTTAACTTTGCCCCTTCTTCTCCAATCCGTTTTGGGAGCCGACCCTCTCTCCTACTTTTGTTCCAGCTCTGGAAATTTCTCCGCTTATGATCTTTATGAAACAAACTTAAACAAACTTATCGGTTATCTTTTCTATCAAACTCCCTCTACTGGCTTTGGGATGGGCTCAATTGGGCAGAAGCCCCACCAAGCCCACGGCCTTGGTCTCTGCAGAGGCGATGTCTCCTCCACGGACTGCAGAACCTGCATTGCGGAGGCCGGCAGTGCGATTCGCAAGCGTTGTCCATCCAACAAGAGTGCTATCATATGGTACGATGACTGCTTAGTAAAGTACTCCAACATTGACTTCTTCGGACAGATCGATAACCAGAACAAGTTCTACATGTATAATATCAGAGAGGTGAACAACTCCGTTACGTTCAACCAGAAGACCAGGGAGCTGCTCAGCCGGTTGGCAGAAGAAGCTTACGGCTCTCCAAAACTATACGCAACTGGAGAGATGGAGTTGGAGGGATCGACGAAGCTTTACGGGTTGACTCAGTGCACTAGAGATCTTTCTGGGGTTAATTGCAAGAAGTGTCTTGAGGGTATAATTGGGGAGCTTCCGAACTGCTGTGACGCCAAAGAAGGTGGCAGGGTTATTGGTGGCAGTTGCAATTTTATATACGAGATATACCCCTTCGTTAATGCTTAATTTTATTTGTAAAATTGTCTGATTTTGAAGGATTGTAAGCGGAAATAATTACTAATAATTAACTAAGTTATCCTAAGCACTGCATGTTAGAGAGTAGTTGTATGGATTGTGCAATCAAATGCTTTCAAGAAATTCCTATATATATATATATATAATCGATGTTGTACTAGCTTCAAATATACTAACGCGGAATTTTCTTTTTGGGTAAATTACCAACACGGAATTTAAAGTCGAAGAATCTCCACTTTTAACTGTGTGCGGATCCCATGATTATGTGGGGCCTCACACAAAAGAATGGTGGAGATTCATTTAATGATTAAATTTAATAAATAGTTTATAACTATATAATTTATTTTAATTTAGTTTAAAAACAATTTTTTTAATGATTTATAAACTATTAATTTTATTTTAAAATAATCAACTTGACAAACATTTCGTTAACTAGACTAGAAATGTATTTGACAAGTTGCCTCTTAAACTTTTGAAAAATGTTAAATATAGTATATATATTTTTATTTTTTTGTAATATTTTATTT